TATTACAGGCATGCATTATTACCAGGGATGGTTTCTACCTTCTTTCTCATTGTATATCCCTAGATATTGCCAGGCATTTAATAATTATTTTCTGAATGAATAAATGATATTCCGTTATTTTTCCTTTTGTCCTACAGCAATCTTGTTCCTCAAATGCATTAAATCATGTTAGATAGGTACTCCCACAACACCTAATGCAAGAGAAAGGAGAAATAAAGATACCAAATTTTAATTTAGTATCACTTGAGATTTTAATTGTAGGGATCAAGTTTTTATTTTAAAGTTTAACCTAGCATTAAAAGTAGTTTTTAAAACCTGTGCAGAGATAAGACATAAAATGATTCTTATTTGATAACAGACAATCCCAAAGTATCGTATATTTGGATATCAGCTTTCACTTTTGTTCATGTGTGCACATGTTCTGTCTGCTGTTTTGTACAGCAGCAAACAAAGTAAGAGAAACTAAAAGATCTCTGCATCACTGTGCCATGCTGCTCCTTAATCCCTCATCTTTCAAATCCTCTCTGCTCTTTAATCCCAGTTAGAGAAGGAAATCGCCTCCCAAATCTGCTGAAAATATCAACATGGAAGAATTTGCATTTAAAAGCCTCTTGGACTTTCTCTCAGCTTCTGATATGTTGTTAGCCAAAATAATGGCAACATAAAAAATTAATAAAGTGGATGTGTACTTTGTATACTTCTTTTCTTTTTTTGGCCAACTTAGGCAAGCTCTCTACTACTGAGCAATATTGCATCCCTAATAAAGTAGATGATATCATTGCATCACTTTTAACTTGCTGGAAGCAACCATAATCAGAGTTAAAATTTAAAAAGAAACAGGGAACACTGTTTTGCACATTGTCTGACAGGTATAGGATGTAGTTTAGTGTTAGAGCACTTACCTGGCATGCAGAAGGCCCTGGGTTTGATCCCTAGCACCAGGAAAGAAGAAGAAAAAAGGAAGACAAAAGATAGGATTAACACCTAGGACATATAAGGAGTCCCTGCAAATCAATTTTTTGAAAATCCATGAACAAAGTACAAATATCCCTACAAAATAAGAACAAGAATATACAATAAGTAAATAGCCAATAAACACTAAAACTATTCTCGGTTTCACTGAAATCAGAGAAATGCAAACTAAAACAATGAAACCCCAATTCTCTCCCCCTTGCCTATGTGGCAAAACTTGAAGAGAGAGTTAATATCCAGTTTAAATAAGGAATCGCTGGAGAGCAGGAGGATGCTCTCAAATACAATT